TTGTTAACCTCACTGCTTTTCATGACATTTTTCTTTCCTTGGTTTTGCAAATGCTTTGCTTGGGCTGCATACTTAGAGCATGATGGTCATGATGGTGGCTCAATTCAGTACGCTGAGCTGCATCCAACCCATGCTCTAGGACCCCCATGACAGGGCTGGGATCCAGCGGATCCGGCAATATGTTGAGTCCGGCCGTCTGGCGGAGCTGAGGCAGCGCCCCAACATCCAGCCCAATCTGCAGCTTGAGCGGCATGCTGCAGGCCAGGTAATTATAAACATAATATGTCATTGCCACCCAAACTGGCTGTTCACTTGTGTTGTTTGCTCTTAGAGTACCTCATTGTGTGGGCATTTCTTGTTCTTTGCTGCCAAAACATGATTACGGAGCGAGCGAAGCGAGCGGAGTCTTTCGTAGATTAACGGAAATTTCTGGGTATGAGCGGCCGGCCGGCCGGCCGTGCGGACGCTTTTGCGAGGCTTATATCTCAGCAACCACTTGACCGATTTACCTGCGGTAATTTTTGTAGGGTATCTTCATTCCTTCTTCCAAGCAGACATGGGCATGGATCCCAGACAACCAATCACGAAAATCGAGATGGTCATTAGATGCATGTGGATGATCCCTTATGTAGGTGCCACGTGCAAAAAGAAGAGGTGTCAGTTTTGTAATAGTTGCAATACCGTAGCTTCGTGCAACTTTGGCCCACTTTTTTCGTTGAGCCTCAATAATTAAGTCATCTTTTATGTACAATGTTAAGCAACATGGTCTGGATAGAGGTCACCCCTTTTCCAGGCATGGGCCAAAGTTGCCCTTGGTGGCCAAAGTTGCACGAAACTACGGTATCTCGGTAACTACTCGGCCGATTGCGCTAAAAGTTGGCATGTAGGTAGGCACCCACTATGCAATGCATATCCATGTGCCAGAGTTGGGGTGCTGCTGCACGTGCGCACGTGCAGGGGTCGATTCCAGATCTCGAGAACGGCTGGACCGATGGCGCTCAAATTTGGTACGTGGTTAGGGACCGGTTAGTAGGGTGCCGTGCAAAAGTCAGTTGGGACCCATTTTGCACGTGCGCACGTGCAGGGTGCCGCTTCCAGATCTCGAGAACGGCTGGGCCGATTGTGCTCAAATTTGGCACATCGCTAGAGACCGGTTAGTAGGGTGCCGTGCACAACTCAGTTGGAGGTACCCCCTCGCAATTTCGCACGTGCAAGGCTCACCCTCTCGCTCGCTCCGTTAGTTGCCCCAAAAGGCGTTATACTGGTTATCTAATATCGCTTGGCAATGACACAATAGAAACCTGAAGGGTGGTCGAAAGCCTTCTGGAATAGGGTTAAGCTAAGCACTTTATCCTGTATCTCATTAATACTTAATTCTATTCTTTTCCAGGGACTACAGCCAGCGACCTCCACTTCCATGCCTTCCTGATCGAGGGTCTGGTTAGATGGAACGCGGATCGTCACCTGGCGGCGATCGGACAGGACAGCGCCCGCGAGGTCCGGTGCTACGGACGAGTACAGGGTGCTACGACGGCCGGATACGGGCAGCCGTCAACGACCTGTCGCAGAGGGTGCTCAAGAGGGACCTAGTCACCAGAAGCGAGCCTCTTCGATACACGGGTAAAAAGTCGCATGCTACAGTCACACAAATTATACAGTACAAAAACTGCCAACTAATGCCAATGATCGAATGCAGTTAAGTCCGCTAGCCTCCATTGAATTTGAACTTATGAAAAGGTTGCCGCTGCCGCGACAACCGATCAGCTAAAATTATTTACTACCTAATACCTATATACATAAAACGAACTTACGTACCAAGACGTGTCAAGTTGTCACAAGTCGTGAAACATAATGTTTCACACATGCTTCTGTTTACATTCAGGTGAGCTCGTCGGGGTCGCCTACCTGTACGGACAGACGGACAGTTCAAACTGTAGGCTCGACGAGTACAGGGTGGGTGACCCCGACACGCAGCACGGCGAGGATGACGATGTTGGCGATGACCTCGACGAGGGATTCGAGGACGTCGAGGACATCTTCGTGACCGACGCGTACGATGGTCTCGAAATGCCAGTAAGTTAATTAAAGAGTACCGGAGGGTGTGTCGACAGAGGTGTTTTTCTCACAGATTCGCGTTAGACAAAGATATAAAGTGGCGCGAGCATGCCAAAACACTAGCCCTGCAGTTGGTTTTGCGTAATAGTGCGATTTGACGAGGCTCGTGCGGGTCGAAGTTACAGCGAAAAAGTCGCAGTCGACGGTGCTGCCACCTACATTGCCAATAACGGACACTATCATATCGTGATAATTGGGGTAGTTTCAAATGAGAAATGACTTCTATTTTTGTTCAAACTGCTTGAGAAGAAATGAAACAATTCGGAAACATACATTTTTCCCAAATATCGCGTTCCATTTTTTCCTGTTGAGTTGTTAGGAAAGTGGTAAATTTCAAGGTTGACGGCTAAAAAACGAAACAGGAGGAACAGAGCAGGAATCACGAAGACGTGTGCCGCGCCGATGCTGTAGCCTGTAGATAAGGGGTGAGCAACAGAACCAGCATACCTAACGATTTTGATTAGTGATAGATATTTTTCTCTAAATGAAAGACTATTAGTAACTCAGGCAAGCCCTCTAATATAGGTATCGACAGGGTTACGGTAAAAGGTACAATCGATGGCACATTACAATTATTCTGAGTTGGGAAACAACACTCTTCAGATACCTACCATCAACAACCTCACTATCTCCTATATGGGAGCTATATCATCTGATTCCAGCGCCCTGAAAACAAACAGGTTATCACCAAATATCTCTGTATTAGCGCCTACCGATATATGCTGAATGACGCTATCAATACCCGACAATTGTAAAAGGTGATTCGCCACACAGACCGCCGGCGTCTGAGGGGTTGAATCAGTGAGCCAGATTGCCAGCGACTCACCGCTGAACTACCGGGCATAACAAAACGGACGATGCGACATGACTCAGAGATCATCACAGACGCGACGGTAAGCCGCCAACAGCTCCTCTGATGTATGCTTTAAAAATGTTGGCCAAAATTTAAGATCGATGTAATCTAGTGCTAATATTTGGGTTTTAACATTATTGGCGCAATATAACCGTTCTTTAGTCACCGTGTCAATAATATTGACACAGTGAATGACCACCGACTCTCACTGAATGTGTCTTCCTGTTCCGCAGGAAGCTGAGCTGTGACTGACTGGCCATTGCGTGTCATCAGTTCGGCCAGTAGCGGCGGAATACCTTCAATTAAGGGGGGCACTGCCGACTTTTGGTCCCATATTCTTTCTATGCAACGCCCATAGGGCTAATGTTAAAATGCCAAAATCAAAGGGGGCACGGTGCCGCGGTGCCCTCCCCGTTATGTCGCCTATGAGTTCGGCTTGACAAGGGAACCGCGAGGTGGCAGATAGCGATATTACGTATCTGAACGAGGGTTCCGCACGAGATCAGATGGCCTTCGGTTACATTTGTCGTTGCGTCTGTGATGATCTCTGAGTCATGTCGCATCGTCCGTTTTGTTATGCCCGGTAGTTCAGCGGTGAGTCGCTGGCAATCTGGCTCACTGATTCAACCCCTCAGACGCCGGCGGTCTGTGTGGCGAATCACCTTTTACAAATGTCGGGTATTGATAGCGTCATTCAGCATATGTCGGTAGGCGCTAATACAGAGATTTTTGGTGATAACCTGTTTGTTTTCAGGGCGCTGGAATCAGATGATATAGCTCCCATATAGGAGATAGTGAGGTTGTTGATGGTAGGTATCTGAAGAGTGTTGTTTCCCAACTCAGAATAATTGTATTGTGCCATCGATTGTACCTTTTACCGCAACCCTGTTGATACCTATATTAGAAGGCTTGCCTGAGTTACTAATAGTCTTTCATTTAGAGAAAAATATCTATCACTAATCAAAATCGTTAGGTATGCTGGTTCTGTTGCTCACCCCTTATCTACAGGCTACAACATCGGCGCGGCACACGTCTTGGTGATTCCTGCTCTGTTCCTCCTGTTTCGTTTTTTAGCCGTCAACCTTGAAATTTACCACTTTCCTAACAACTCAACAGGAAAAAATGGAACGCGATATTTGGGAAAAATGTATGTTTCCGAATTGTTTTATTTCTTCTCAAGCAGTTTGAACAAAAATAGAAGTCATTTCTCATTTGAAACTACCCCAATTATCACGATATGATAGTGCCCGTTATTGGCAATGTAGGTGGCAGCACCGTCCACTGCGACTTTTTCGCTGTAACTTCGACCTGCCCGAGCCTCGTCAAATCGCATTTTTACGCAAAACCAACTGCAGGGCTAGTGTTTTGGCATGCTCGCGCCACTTTTTATCTTTGTCTAACGCGAATCTGCGACTATCGACACACCCACTACCCAAAACATAACAATACGATTAAAAATTAAAGCTAAATGCAACTACTTCAATTTTGCGATATACTGCACCCTTTGATGGATGTTATTTACCCTATTACTTTCTGCATCCCAAATGAAGCAAGCATATAACTTATTTCTTAGGTGTACAGGTAACTTAGGATCGCGAAACATACTGAGCTCATGACTACATCGCTTGTGTTTCAGCTTCAGACGCCTCTCCCGGCCGCTCCCGTCGGAGTCCCCAGCCTCGCCGCCGCCGGACCTCAGGGACCCGCTACCGCCCGAGTCCCCAGCTCCGCCGACGCTGGGCCTCAGAGTCCCGCCGACGCTGGGCCTCAGAATCCCGCCGCCGGACCTCAGAGTCCCGCCGCCGCTGCAGCTCCGGGCTCCGCCGCCGCTGCAGCCGCAGCCGCCGTCACTGGAGCTCCGGGCCCGGCCGCCGCTGCAGCTCCGGGGCCCGCTGCTGCTGCAGCCGCCGCAGCTGCACCTTCAGGACCGGGCTCCGCTACCGCTGCCGCTGCAGCCCCGCGGCCTGCTGCCGCTGCAGCTCCGGGGCCCGCTGCCGCTGCGGCTCGGGGGCCCGCTGCCGCTGCGGCTCGGGGGCCCGCTGCTGCTGCAGCCGCCACAGCTGCTGCTCCGGGGCCCGCTGCAGCCGCAGCCGCCGCAGCTGCAGCCGCAGCCGCCGCAGCTGCAGCCTCGTGGCCCGCCGCCGCTAGAGCTCACAACCTCTCACGGGTAGGTAGTCAGCCTCGTTTGATCTAAGGACGGGACTTCTCAGTCATTCAGACCGTTTTGAGTCCAATCAAATAAAACCATTAAGCTCCCCAGGATTGGAAGTGATCACCTGCGACCTCAAAAGTTTCCATAGTTACACTTCCAGTAGCGATATGCAAATCAGCGTTAATTCAGACAGCTAATTGCTCGCTTACATAGTCCCGTGTGTTCCACCTCAAACGGATGAATGGTCCATCAGTTAGCTATACACCGGGCGCAAGCACATATTAATCATGCCAATCACCCTGAGCGCTAAATTCGCCCGTTCTACTTTCAGCATGGTAACCAGCCTCCACCGGCTCCTCCTGCCGTCGACGCTGCCAGCTGGTCACCAGCTGACACACAGCCGGACCTGGAGGGACGCAGCTCACCCGGCCCTGGTGCAGTAGTGGCCGCCGCTCAGTCGCCCGCCATCCCACTGATGCCAGACTGGGCAGCCGAGGGTCTTCCGGAGGTGCGGCTGCTTCGAGTTGCTTCGACCTTTCTGTTTCACTCGGGATCTTTTTTTCTTCTTAATTATGAAATTAGGTATCTCGGCTGACACGAGTGTAAATGCACCCCGGCCCGGTCACACCAGTCTGCTATAAAAGAATAAATCGTCTGTTCTCAGCACGGCGTTCAGCTGCTGTCGGCTCCTCCGACTACCGCCGGAGCCCCTGGCCCGGTCCCTGCCGGCGTCCCGGGCACAGCCACCGCGCCACCAACCGTCGCTGGCTCCGCCACCACCTCAAGTTTCGGGAACCGCGACCCGGCTCGCCAGGTATGTTGTAACTTGTCTCACAATCAAATTGCTTTAACTGTAAGTGCACAAAATGCATGTTCTGATGTGTTCATGAAGGTGACATGCTCTTGTCAGACACCCTCGTTTTCCATGTATGTTTTAAGGACGTGACCGGCCCCGACCACCAGCCGGGGTACGCCGAGTGCCACCGCCTGGCGCAGGTGCTCGTCGGCCTAGACTGCTCGCGGGGGTATGTCGCCGACGAAGAGGCCGAGTCCATCGTCCACCTGTGGCACCAGCTCTCCGCCGGCGACAGAGCCAAGGTGGCGGCCTCCCCGCGGTACCAGCACCGGCTGACGACTGGCCGGTTTAAACAGCCGAAGACCAGTCGGCTGTCTGGTGTCGTGCCGGGCGTGGACAGCGCACGGAGGTAAGGATCCCGCATTTTAAAATAGGACTATCATTGTAAGCGTTGTTCTCAAATGAAACACCATCGGGCAGAATAATTGGGGTTTGCACGCATATTATTGGAACTATTAAATTATGTCATATTTATTAAAAGGCAATAAAAGTGAGATATTGTCCATGCTGGTAGGATTTTGTACGCATGTTAGTCACAACCTGGACATGCTGATGTGATGAAAAAGAAATACGAAACGCGTCCACGTCATCACATAATTTAATTATTGATTTTCACGAAACACAACTTGCATACTGCTTGCCAGGGACCTTCAATTTGGAAGGCATGTCCAACGTGTGCTCCGTAGAATTTCGTAGAACACATGTGAAAGTGAACTTAATGATGGATTTCTATTTGACAGAGTCTCACTCAAGCGAGGAGCGGTTCCCGCGCAACGACCCGACTTGAACCGGCTCGCTGAGACGGTCGTCCGCCTGCTCTGCGAGCGGTACCGAAACCCCAGGCGCAGCGGAGGGTCGGTCCAGTCGCGCTGGGCGCAGATCCTGGCCCACCACTCCAGCCTGCGGGACATTCTCCTCAAATGTCCCGCAATCACCCAGCGGACTGGAGTCAACCTGGCGGCTCTGAACCAGCACACGCTCACGTCCTGGTGAGTTATATGTTCGCTCGATCCTGCAGATGCAGAGACTTGATAGAATGTCCAGTGTCCATCCTCTCATCAATAATGGTGTAAGATATGTTATAAAAATACTACCATCATATTCGCCCGTGTGCGGCTTTACTGCTGGGGGGGGGGGGGGGCGGACCCGTTCATTACCTGATTTTGCTAAATTTATCAGCGAGTGTTAAAGCCAGAACAATACACGCATTCAGTGTTGTAACAATTACGTTTCACAATACTTCTGAGTATCAGAAAATTAAAATTGTTCGCACTGGGAAACCGGCGCGCATCTACCGCATGGTCTTCCTACTGAGGACGCCAATGCTGACGGGATACATCCAGACTCTGTCCCTAAATGCGCTGAACCGAGTTGGGATGAGGCGGTGGGATGCAAGTCGACATCCTGAGAGATCGGAGCGTCAAAAGAGGAGCTCTGGAATACAAGGACCCCAACGAACATTTCAATCAACAGTATAAAGTAAACCCCTCAATTTTTGTTTTTGTTTCGCCGCCAGGTTCAACGAGCACCAGAAGGAGACGGAGCGGAGAGCTCTTCTCCAGGGCGTGCAGCTGCCGCCAGCCCGTCCGATCGCCGCAGTCGCCCTGCCAGCACCGGCGCCGCGGCTGATGCAGGTGCAGGTGGTGCGGGTGGACTGCCGCCGCCCACCGCACCACTTCGTCCTGCCTGCCGACACGGTCGGACAAGCGCAGACCCGCCGTCGCCCGGCCGAGGACACCGGCCACGACACCGCCGCCAAGAGGCCCTACACGCGCCGGCAGCCCACCAACACCTGCGGCCAGTGCAAAGGCGCTCTGACGGCGGACACGGGGCACAGACGGGGGAAGGGCGGCCCAAGCCGAAACAAGGTTTTCTGTCCCGTTGCCAACCCTGATCTAACATACGATCAGTGGTTGGCAAAGTTCAAGTGAGGAGTATGTCTTGTACCTATGTATGTATGTCTTGTCTATGTTTTGTGTCCTGTATGCCTGGCAAGTCCAACGCCAGACACCGGCGGAACTGCTTCAGGGCCGCTCTCTCCGGCCGCAGCTCAGGCGCTGCGCCCCCCCCCATGATCGCCGCTGGCGCCACCTTTCGGCGCCCCGCCGCCGTCGATGGGGAGAAAAATAAACCAGATCTGACTTCGGATGCCGTCATGGTGTTTGTGTGGCGTAGAACAACGACGATAATAGCGAGTTAAAACCGCCTGACACTGTTTCAGGGTTTGGCGTTTTTGTTCGTGAATGTTTGCTTGTTCCTTTGATACTTAGGTTTACGATTCCCTTCCTCCGTTTGTTTGTTTGGTCGTTAAACATTAAATATACCAGTGTATAATGCAGGCGTACTTCGTCCGGGTGAGGCATCGTAGTCCCTTCGTCCTCGCACCTAAGGTTCACGCTATTCAGGCATGCCAAAAACTTGACCTGTGTGTCTTCCAGGTAGGTATCACACATTCGTGCGCGGGTGGGTGCGTTGAATGCTAGTTAGATTATGCGACAGTGCAGCTAACAGCGACTTCGGACAGCTTCCACGGTCGCAGAACACGGCAGGCAAACTCACTTAAGGCACCGGCCATTCGCTCGAAGCCCGGGCGCCGTCGATTTTGTCGGATTCCACTGTATACCCAACGCATTTATCCTAAGCAATACAATTAATGGTGCAAAGTAGCTGCAGCACGGCATGGGTAGCTTTCATATTCTGTCAATTAACCCGCGCCGGGCCGGTGCTCCGCGACTTCCACGCCGGGCCGGGAGGGGGGGGGGTCTGAACTCTGACCCCCCCCGTCTAACTCGGCTCCTGGGCCACGTAGCGAGACGCAGTAAGCGGCATTCGAAAGAACGCCAAAAATAACACTTCGGTCATTTTTAGATCAGGTCAAAGCTCGGGGCCCTGTTTCACCGGTGATAGCAGCACGCTGCTATCACACGTGTCAAATTGGGTTTCCATGGAAACATCAACAAACCATGACGCCGTCAATCTGTGTGATGTCATCAAATATTGCTGCTAACATCTTTACGGCCGTGCGATCAGACAAATGTTATCAAACGCATTCAACGAGACAGCAACTCTGTTCCAAACGCAGCTCACGGATTACACGAAACGTCAGTAGTGTGACCTCATCACATTACGTCAGCTCGCGCGAAACCATTACGTCACCGGCGAAACAGGGCCCAGGTCGCCAGAGGCCATCAAAGGTAACATTTTGTCCATTTCAACAATTTTGGAAACTGCCAGCGGCTAACTTGGGAACCGATAGAGCTACAGCGGCGCGGAAAAGCGCATTCGATAGCTCTTTTAATGCTATTTTGCCATAATGTCCCCAGATTTGACCTCGGAAAAGCGCATTCGATAGCTCTTTTAACGCGATTTCGCAATAATGTCCTCAGATTTGACCTCAGGTCAACGGTTTAGCCTCCAGAGGGCAAGAACTCCAAAAATGGCGGTTTTATGAAAAACATTTTTCTGCAATAACTTTTGACTCAGGGAAAAGACGACATTTAATTTGCCAGCGCATCGTGTTCCCCTCGTCGAGACGCGTCGAAAGAATTATAATTTAACCTTGTAAGGTCATTTTGAAAATGTGACCTCAGGTCAAAGTCATGGCCTGACCGGAAAAGGTCATGTTGCATATCAGTCGATCCGTATCGTCGAGCTTAACACATCTGAGGTGTTCTCATCGCTCTAGCTGTCTCTATCAAAAGTTATTGTCAGAGAAAACTCCTGGGGGCCTGATATGACCTGATATGACCTCTGGGTCAAAAGGAGGGGTCACAGGTGCCATTTTTCGGTTCAGCTTGTCGAGTTTACCGGTAACACGATGTTTGAGAATGTTTGGAATGACGTTCGTCCAAAAAAGGCGCCTTTCAATTATCTCCCATTAACTTACCTGAAATGGAGAGGTCGCAAAATTGGCCTGACCTTAGGTCACCAATATCAAAATTCCGAGATATGCATTTTGTATACACTGTTACTATTATCAATCGCTGAAAGTTTCAAGGTGATCGTTTGGTCGTTACAGATATGACGAGGATTCTAACTTTTCTGAGGTGCTTGAGTTACCTGGGTCTGAAATTTTCACATGTGCGGAAAAGATGCATGAACAGGTGTACCAAAAATGGCGGCGCAGCGCCGCCGTTTTCGATATATCTGCGAAAAACCGCAAGAGGGTAACACCCAACCCCCGGCCCGGCGCGGATTAATTTAAGGTTATTTTTGTATTACTGAAGCTGATGTCCACATGGTTTTCAAAGGGTAAATATCGCTGCTTTGAAGCTTTCCATGTTTCTTTCATGAAGCTTTCCAGGCAGTCATTTTTGAAAATGACTGCTACCAGTCAATGGAGGAAAAAAAGAACAACTTATATCAATTATGGAGATATAGAAATAGCAAATTAACGCCAAAGAGGAAGATCACAAGAATCGATAGAATATCAGACGAAGATAATACGGAAGGGGTGGCGTTGCAAAGCCAACACCCCGAGAAAAATCTGATCTGATCTGATGTTTTTCAATATCCTGAATCCAAGAATGATACTCATTAGTGCAAGGAGTATCATGATAATCCATTGAGGGGAGGTCACCCAGCCCTAACTCATCAGACCCAACCCATCCTGGGCTTATGCAAAGGTAGGTGAGGTGTTAGGTTTTGGGTGGGTGTAGGGTTGGGTTGTCAGGCTTGGTCAGGGTAAGTTTGGTTAAGTTAGGTTAGGTTGGATTAGGCTGAGCTTACTCAGATTTGCTAGGCAAGGTCAGGTAACTTCACTTCAATGAATTATAATGATACCTATTTGCTGCCAGACATGTGCATGGATCCGAGAAAATGGATCTGGGATCTGATCCCACGGATCCTGATCTCGGATCCGTCGGGACCATAGATCCAGCTCTGTAATTTATCGAGAGATCCATGGGGATCACAGATCCGAGTCTCATTTTTTGCTTGAGATCCAGTGAGATCATAGATCCTCACTTATTTTTTTTTTGTTAAAACATATAAAAAAAAACATGTTTCAAGTTTCAACTCACAAACGTTCTGTTTTAGTGATTTTATGTGATCGCACGTCATAATCCACAGTTTTGTGTCACTTATTGGCATAGAAACCCATTAAAACATGGTTTCAAATGTGGTACATGGTGGGATCCACTCAGATCATAGATCCATGTTCTTAATTTATCGTCAGATCATATGTCATAGATTCAAGATGCATTTTTCACAACGGATCCGGTGGGATCATAGGTCCCAACCTGTACTTTGCTTCGACATCCACTGAGATCATAGATCCATCATTCGGATCCATGCACGTCTGTTTGCTGCACTTATTAACATTATTTTTGGGATCCCAAGTATTGAAAAACATGGAAAAGAGTTATTGTTGGAAAAACCTTATTGTTATGAAACAAAAGGAACCAAATATGAACGCCTTATGAAACGAGAGGAAACATAAATATGAACGATTTTCTTCCAATATATTTGCATTGAACTCAGTGAAATATAGGTAATAAAAATGAGGGTGCATCGGAGAGGATATTCACGGCTTGGTCTCACCTTTATTATGCTAACTATGAACATTAATATGGCATTTCCAGGCAAGGTGGGTCGGTCAATGCCATACCTACCTGACCAACTAATAAAAACGAATTTCACCGAACTGTGCTTCGATAATGCAAAAAAAACATTTATAAAACCAAATGAAAACAAAACCTTACGGAGTTTGTTACTCAGCCTTGGGTATCCTAACGCAAAAAAAATTAATTGGACGCTGAACCGAGGACCGCGAACCGACGCTCGGAGAGGCGGATCACGTGGGTGCTGGCGTGCAGAGAAATCTTTACCCTGTACGCCGTAGAAGATCGGCTGGGTTTCGTGAAAAATGGTAGAGGAATTGTCGAAGGAAAATTCATCGATCTATCATTTGAGACTAAGAACCATTGATTCCTTCAAAGGTTGACCGAGATATCGCTCGCCGAAAACAGGCCATTTAACATGTAAACCCTATGGGCTGGTAGGAACTGTACGCCGTGGAGCAGCAGTGCTACCAACCACTGCACTATGGTTGGAAACGGCCTCACGGATGGCCGGGGGTCAACGCGAAAAAATGTTTTGCCCATAACTTGTTAATGCGTAGACCGACTGCGATGAAACTTTGCATAGGTATACCAGTGTCTTTCGTGCATCATACAATAACTCAGAAATGACGAGGTCACGTCACGTCACGCATGTGTGACGTCATCCTTGCAAGTATGTTATAAGTCGCCTATGTCTTTCGTTATGTTATCGATATCGCGAGGCATTTTGAACATGTTTTGAATACTGCTATTACTGAATGGATATTGTTGTTATGCTTTAGGGCGAGAAATATCAACGTAGTGACGCACAGTGTCTTACTATTGGTCATAAAGGGTCAAAAATTTGGAGAAAAAGTATTTATGATTTTTTTTAGATTGGGCAAAAAAGTAAGAAACAAAATGACGATCAAATGACAAAACATGCGTCAGATTAACCCGGCAGTTGCTGGGTATTTCCCCATCCGCCGTTTGCCGGGGGGGGGGGGCGTTCAACGCCCCCAGCCGATAACTCGCGAACAAATAGGCGCAGCGAAACGCACGAGGCGCGGCAAACGAAAGAAGAACGCGACGAGACGATTCACATGAATACTTTAAAGCTGAATTTCGAGGTCACAGGTCGGGTCAAAGTCAGGTCAAACACTTGAAATCGGGCTTTCAGTAGCATAGACTTTAGAACCTCGCAATCGGTGCCTCGCGTTTCGCGTTTCGATTATATCGTCATCAGTTGGTCCTAAATAAATTCAGTCATCAGTTGGTCCTAAACAATCTGTCACAACTGTCACAACTGTCACAACCCTTCATATAAGTGCTAAAAGAGTGTCAGATCAATGTAGGGGTCAGTCAAACATAGGCCACTGGCCAGGGTCAAAGTCAGGTCAATCAGGTAAGCACATAACCCCGAAAATTAAAACTGGTACCTATTCGCAGCCCATGCATGACACATTTTTTATGCGTACTTTTGGGCGTAGAACACGATGGTGACATTCATTTTATCATACGAGTACCTGGCTGGTTGAAAAAAGATCAATTTCAGAAATGCATGCGTCATGGTCGTGAAGTAGTCACGAGAAATTGCCAACATTCAGTTCAAGATTTTGGAAAATGTAGAACGATGATCAAAAACCATAGATAGCCATTTGATTTGCCATGGTATTGGCAGTGTAATGGCGTTTACAGCATGTCTGTATGTCTGCTCTGTCGGTGGATATCCATATCCATACTCCAGGATATCCATACACGTTTGCACGATATCCATACTCCAGGTGCAG